TGTCCTCTTTTGGAAGGCCAAACAAAGTAGTTTCGCTTTCACAATGAAACACACAGCGTCTCCAAGACATGGCGGCGGCGGCGGCAACATCAATACTACAGAGAAAGGAAAACTTGAAATCGCATCATATGACCCCTTTAATGAGTTCAACGACATGGTGGTGTTTTGCCAGTGAAGGTTTTTACTTCATACATTTTTTTTTTTTTGGCATTTGTGAATAGAGGAGGAATTGCTTCCAGAACTGAGTGCCCAGGAGCAAAAATGGCAGCATTTAGTGTGTGCTTTTTGGACATTTTTCACAGCACAATGAACTCTTTTAATCTCAAAGGATCATGAGAAAGCAGTTTGCCTTGATATGACTCCTTTATAGAGGCTAACAGAAAGAGAATTTCACAGTTAGACTTCCAGAGAGTTCTGCTGTTTCCTCCAGCGATGGCAGGAGCTCAGTCTCAAGTTAAATCGACAGTTGTTTATTTCCACAGAGTGCTATACCTAACCAAGCGGAGAGAGAGGGAGGACAAGACAGAAGGAGCGATAGACGACAGCCAAACGAGTGTTGTGCTTTATTTGAGGTCAAAGACGAGTCCAATAGTAAGGTCTGTTTATCTAAAGGAAAGAGTAATGTTTCCCAAGACTCCTAATGCTCATAAATGCTAAATAAATGTGCTGTAACTCATAATAACAGCTGGTCCCAACATAACAAGTGTTTATGTGTTTGTGCATAATCAGATGGCATGTTTTAGCACAGCGGTCTTTGGTATGAAACAAGACGGGGAGTGGCGAATAAAATTAACCTCGTGCTTTTACCTTTTTTAGTGTTTGGTACATTTTAATTCCTCCAGACATGCAGCAACAGCTACTGATATCTGGAGGATACAGAAATTAATGCAATGTAACTTGTAGATGTTTACATATTTAGAAAAGATGCATTTGGGTGAATCTCACAGAGAAATGTCCGGGTTATGTTTCACCCTAAAATAAAATAAAAAAATAAATAAATTAAATTATGTATTACATTAGGAAGCCGATTTTAGAACCGATTAAGAGTATTTGCATATAAAGTAATTCTCATTGATAATGTAATGAAAATCATGCTATCTGGACTTTTTTTTTTTTTAGCAACTTTTACTTTTTTGTTAAATTAGCACAAACAACAAAAAATACAAAACATTTACTGAATGCCATTCTAAAAATTGACAGGGAATGTGGAAACATTTAAGGAAGTTATAATTTTAGTCAATTGATAAAACATTCTCCTTTGGATGTTAGAATGATTTAGTTGTTAGACATTTATGATTTACAATGTAAACATATTTCACTTGTTTTTTAGGTGCTTAACAGATAATCCCCAGAAATTCTCATTACCATAATGCAGATTTTTTTTTCTCATTACTGTAATTAAAATCATCCAGTGCAACAATACTACCATGATGTGCTTACAAATAAAAAAAATTATATATATTAATTAATTTATTCATTCATTCATTACAGTAATGAGAATGTGTTTTTTGGTCCATCACATTAAGTTTGTTGAGAACTGAGGAAGTGAAATGTGCTTTATTGTCATTAAAAATATATTTTTTTCTTATCCAGTATATATTCTCTTATTTATTTATTTTTTCATTTTGATTTTGGAGTGAAATATGACCCTTTTTTCAGTCGAGGGAAGAACATTCTGTACAAGGCAAGTCAGAAAAAAACAAACAACTTGTGAAAGTGAGCGAGAAATTGTGTCAAAGGTTCTTTCCTATATAATAAGCTGCAAAGCCGGGTCGGTATTTCAAATCCCGAGGGTCATACTGGACGCAGGCAGGAGGGAGTCTGAAGGAATGTGTCAAATTGCCAAATGACCCAAAACACACACACACACACACGTCTGCTCAGATGTCCATCCCTGCAACCCGTTGTAATCAACATAGGCCTTTCCTGTTTTTACTGTGTGATGTCCTCTGTCTGTCAGATACAGCTTTCTGCTCCTGGATTCAAGATGAAGTGTGTCTTTGTGATTAGTTGTCTTTGTGCCAGGCTTAAACCTGCAATCATCTCTTACCATCTCTATTTCCGTCTCACTGAGAAACCAAAGCCTTTCTGAGTCTTTCTGACACATAACACACAAACAGTCGTTTAACTGTGCGCAGAGCCCTGTTGTATGAATAAACAAGCGATTTCTGTATGGTTTGTGACTCTGTTTTTGACCTTTTGTAGGATTCAAAGTTAAAGAAGGTAAAATCAAAGCGAGAAAAAGGAAACAAGAAGTTGTTTCCGTCTCAGGACGATGAACACATCTTGCTGACAGGAGTCACTGTCTCTCACAGAAGAGGGTAAGCTAAAGCCCTAATAAAGTATGTTTCGCAAGCCTCAAAATTCCAATATGTATTTTTTAGATGATTACAATAATTTTAGATGATTATACCTAGTAAATGGGGATGGGTGGGACAACCAAAATTGTGTAATTTAAATGTATGAATAATTTTATATTACAATAGCAGTATGTGTCATGCCATAGTTATCTTTGCTGAAAGGTTAACATAAAAATGTATATATATATATATATATATATATAACATAACCATGTATTGATGCATTTTTGTATTATTATTATTATTATTTGTGGGGGGTTTTTTTCATTACACCTTCCAAATGAAAATATAGACATTAATTTATTTTTATTTTTTTATTACTTCTAGTCATTTTTAGTAGCTTAAACATTCCCTGTAGATGTTTTTATGATGTTTAAGAGATAGAATGTACGTCAATCCAATGTTTTTGAGATGATTATCGGATGTTTGTTCACACACACACACAAAAGATGTTTAAAATAGAACACAATGGTTTCTAGCTTATGTGCTTCTTAACAGACGTCTCTGCATTGGATGAGCTTGATGGAAAAATTCAAAACCACATTTTCCAAATCTTTTGGTCTGCCTCAAACTCACACCATTAGTTGATATGTTGGGCTTCTGAAACCAACAAAGCCATGTTGTAAAAGCAGCACAGAGCCGCGGTGTTTATAGTCAGTCTGTGGGGGAAATGAACTAGTGGCTTGCTTATAGTTGACTCTGCATATTTAAGTTGGATTAGGAAAAAGTATTTTAACACCAGAGATGTACAAACGGCACATTTGAGTGCCTAGAAATGAAGATATCGATACTGTATGCAATAAAAATAGAGATAAATATATCATTACATAGCAATGAAAAATCTCACATATATGTTTTTGGACATAAATATAGTCTAACGTTAAACTCGACCATCGAGTAAGTGTCTGAAATGGAAACCGCACCCTGTGGCCCGGCCTCTGTCCTTCCTGCTGAAGCATATGTAGCTGCCTTGTGCCATTATAACACATAACCAAACATCATACTGTGCATACAGCATAATAAATTCACTGTTGATCCTTGTACCCTTTCATATAAGCAAATATTAAGGTTGTGTGTGTGTGTGTGTGTGTGTGTGTGTGTAATTATTTATTTAATTTATTTTTAACGTTTGAAGTCGCTAAGTTTATGAAAGAAATTAATACTTTCATTCAGCAAGGATGCATTAAATTGATCAAAAGTGACAGTTCATTTATAATTGTTCCAAAAGATTTCTATTTCAAATAAATACTGCTTTTGAACTTTCTATTCATCAAATAATCCTGAAAAAAAGTATCACAGTTTCCACAGAATTATGAAGCAGCACAACTGTTTTCAACATTGATAATAATAAGAAATGTTTCTTGAGCAGCAAATCAGCATATTAGAATGATTTCTAAAAGATCATGCGACACTGAAGACTGGAGAAATGATGCTGAACATTCAGCTTTGCATCACAGGAATAAATTGCATTTAAAAATATATTAAAACAGTTATTTTAAATTAAAATAATATTTCACAATATTACTGTTTTTACTATATTTTTAACCAAATAAATGCAGCCTTGGTGAGCTTAAGAGACTTACAAAATCTCACCAACCCTACACTTTTGAACAGTTGTGTGTATATTAATTATTATTATTATTATCATCAACAACAATAATAGTGATTTGTTATTGTTTTTTTTTTTTTACATTTGCTGAAATTTCTTGGAATTCACTTAATTTGTGAATTTTTTTTTCGGTTATGCAAGCAGTACCAGTGGTGTTAATTTTTTGGGGGTACAATTTTTTCACTTTACAATAAATCATGCTGCTTCATTCTCTCTCAGGTCTGCTAAGAAAAACTGGGAGGACGACAAGAGTAAAGCGCACTCAGAAAAAGACAAAGCGCACTGTCTATGGGACAGCATCACCATGACGATGAAGCAAATCACACCTACGAGGAAGATTGACAAAATTGAGGGCTGGGAGCCGCCTCAGCTGAACGACGGGGCGGAGGAGGAAAAAAATGAGCTAGAGAAGAAGAGGAGTGACTCGTCCACGCTGTCACTGTCTCTGCCGCATTCTCTGGGTTTGCCGTCCTGGGTTGGCTTGGGTTCGGAGGAGGACTCGTCTCGTTACTCTAGTCTGCCTGAATCACAGACGGGCGGCCCTGCCCAGTGGGCGGCTCGGGCGCGAGATAAATTAGCCGCCGTTCGTCGCCGAAGTCCAGCCGGCCTATCAGAGAGTAACTGGGAGGGGTTAAAATGATTTCCATATCAATGTCTATAAGGATGGCCGCACCCCCTTGTATACCAACTCTAATTGGACAGCTCACCAGTGTTGCCAGATTGGGTGGGTTCCCGCCCAATTGGGCGGTTTTGAATTTGATTGTGCTGGTAAAAAATTGGCTTGGGCGTGTGGACAAAATTTGGGCTGGTTTGGGGTCAGTTTGGCGGTTTTCAATCATATAAATTGCATTAACAAAATTAATTGTTTAACAAAACAAGCCCAACAGACAGACGTTATGATTCATGAGTGACAAGTTTTTAGCGTGATAAGTTATAACGTATCTAATTTTGAATGTAGTATGACTGTATATTCAAGTAATCACAATGCATAAATATAAGTTAAAGAGTGGGAGAGTGACTCAACTCTCAAAATATGAATTATTGTGGAGTGAGATGACACGAAGGCTCTATCACTGCAACTCCGAAATCAGAGCACATTTGAATTAATGAATCAAAACCGAAACTAAATATGTCAGTTTATACGGTCCTGTCCTTTTATCTTTTAAACGTCCAGATTGATAAATCCTTGAAAACTGCTAGACTTGATTAGTTTTGACAGTGCAACGTTCTGTAGGCTATTATGTTCTACAATATGAACTTAACAAGAGGCTTCCAGTTCTGTGTAAAATTATAGAGCGACACGAAGGTAAGCGCATTATTGTTTTTTTTTTGTTGTTTTTTTTAATTGTCGGGTTATAATTCAGTATGTAGCCGTGTATACGTTTTTCTTCATTTACTCTCAAAAATTGGAAGTGAAATGTGACAACGCCCCGTAGGTGGGGTACATTGTAACAGCTGAGGGGCACATTGTGTGACCATATAACCGCTTAAAATGTTATCTGATCGAATGAAAAAAATATACAAGACAAACTAAAATATGTTGTCAATAAAATAAAATAATTATTTATTTCAAATAAAATAATGGCGTTTTTTAAGAATTAAAAATAATCTGATTTTGGAGTTTGACAATGAACACATTGCAACCATGCTTGGGACGGCCCACATAAACGAGCCAAAATGCTTTACATGTCTTGAAACAATAATTTCTTAACATTAAACATTGACTGTCAGCCTTTATTCACCTGTTTCTCGTCGTTTATCATTAAAATGTATTAAAGTAAATAGTCTGAATTACATCGCTAATGTCATAGAAAAGCACGGCAGGGCACATTGTAACGCAATGTTACAACGTGCCCCATCTGCGCAACTGGAGTTTAAAACCGGTTACTGTCTTCTGATAGTTAGCGAAGCATTAAAAAATAATCTAAACTGATAAATAACAGATTGGAGATTAAAATAATAGCAGATTTGACTCAATTTAAATGAGTAATAAAAACTGAGATGAAAAATGTACTTAAGCCAGAAATATAATTTTACTATGGTAAAATAAATGTTCAGTGATATCTTCAAAAGACTTTTGAATTTTGGCGCACTTTTTTTCTCTATATAATGTTGATATGGTAACTAGTAAATGCTGTAAATTTGGTTATGCTAGCATGTGTGGAAATATTTAAACCACGTGTGTTACAACT